TGTGTAGCTTGCAAAAATTTTCTCCCATCCTGTGGGTTGTCTGTTTGCTCTCTTGACAGTTTCTTTGGCTGTGCAGAAGCTTTTAATTTGATCAGGTCCATTTATTTACTTTTGTTGCTACTGTGATTGCCTTTGGGTCTTCTTCATAAATTCTTTGCCTAGGCTAATGTCTAGAATAGTATTTACAACATTTTCCTCTAGAATTCTTTTTTTTTTTTTTTTTTGAGACAAAGTCTCGCTTTGTTGTCCAGGCTAGAGTGAGTGCCTGGCTAATTTATATATATATATATATATATATTAGTTGGCCAATTGCTTTCTATTTTTATAGTAGAGACGGGGCCTCGCTCAGGCTAGTTTTTTTTTTTGTTTTTTTTTTGAGACAGAGTCTCACTTTGTTGCCTAGGCTAGAGTGAGTGCCCTGGCGTCAGCCTAGCTCACAGCAACCTCAAACTCCTGGGCTCAACAATCCTTCTGCCTCAGCTCCCAAGTAGCTGGGACTACAGGCATGCGCCACCATGCCCAGCTAATTTTTTCTATATATATTAGTTGGCCAATTAATTTCTTTCATTTATGGTGAAGTAGCGGTCCTTCTTCGCGTCTTGTCAGGTGGTTCAAACTCCTGACCTCGAGCAATCTGCCCACCTGGGCCTCCCAGAGAGCTAGGATTACAGGCGTGAGCCACCGCGCCTGGCCTCAGGCTAGTTCTGAACTCCTGCCTTGAGCAATGACCTCGCCTCGCGCGTCCCAGAGAGTGCTAGGACAGCATGTAGCCACCACGCCAGGCCCTCTAGAATATCTAAATAGTATTCACCTATAGATTAGTTTGTTACCCAGCATAGCACATTGTTCTTAATGAAGCAGTGGAATAGTAAGAAGCAGTTTTGTATTTTCCTTAAAATCCTGACCTCAAGTGTCCTCCCACTCAGCCTCCAAAGTACTAGGATTACAGATATGAGCCACCATGCCTGGCCCAGGGTTTCTGTATCTTTCATATTGACTGCAGCAACTTACAGTGGGATATTCATAGACATTTTTTTTTTATTTCAGCATATTATGGGGGTACAAATGTTAAGGTTACGTATATTGCCCATGTCCCCCACCCCCAGGCTGGTCTGGAACTCCTGACCTTGAGCGATCCTCCCGCCTTGGCCTTCCAGAGTGCTAGGTTTACAGGCATGAGCCACTGGGCCGGCCTAACTGTTGTAGTTCTTTTTCTGCTCCCTTTTAAAAATTGTTTTGAGATTAATCTTTGCTGAGTCATAAAAAGAAATAGGGTTTAGAATACTGTGGTTTTCTACTTATTTTGAGCTTTTAAGGGATTCATAACTGCTATAATGGAGTGTCTGTCTTGTCTGTTGCTTTGAGGGTAAGGCTGATCATTTCTTCCTTGTCAGCCCTAATCTCCTGTCCATTTTTTACCCACCTTATCTCCCCACTTTTTTAACCCATTCCCTTACTTCCAAAGCCATTCTACATGAACATGTTTAGGGATTACTGTGATGGGTATTTTGAAGAGATCAGGTTATCCAAAGTATTTTGTTGTCACTGTTCTGATACTGATAAGGATTTAAAGAACGATGTTACTTTTTATCTTGTGTATATGTGTGTGTATATATATATATATATGTATGTATTCTCAAATAACCTTGCTAATGAAGAGGCATTGTACTGTAGCTAATGTAAAATATTGATTAAATAATCCCAAATTAATTTGTATTTTACTTTGGAATGCATTTAAAAAATTTTTTTTTCCTTAATCCAAATGCATTCCTGCATTTGGATTCTTAGGAAAAGAGTATATCTGACTTTCTAGGAGTTGATACTTCAAACTTTATATCTTCAGAGTATAATGTGATGCTTCCACTTGGGAGAAATTAGATAACTGCTAATTCTTTTATCAAACCTTCATCTTAGTCTTTTGCTGCTTCTGATTTTTTACTGAGTAAGGAAAAGGATACCTGCGACTGATGCAGACCAGCCCAAGTTGAACCACTAACTCTTTCTGGCCCACACACTTTGGTTCATGAACTGAACTGAACTGAAATAGACTGATTTGATTTTAACCCTTTGCACTCGCTTGCTTTTTTCTCATTATCCACTCCACATTATCCACACTCGACATCCAAGTGCAAAGGGTTAAACGGTTTTCTGATGACTGGAAGTATTTTCACCTGCTAAAGATAAATGCTGCCATGAAATTCAACCATCATGTGGGCCTTCTACAAACTTTTCCTTTTTAGTTTCTGATAAGCTATAGGGGAAGTGGAGGAGGGCTTTCAGTTATAGCAGAAGAGGAGAAAAAATAAGAGATAAAAGGAAAACAGGACCCAAATAATGTAAGACATGAAAGTATTTGGAAGTAAATACAAAACTTTAAGTGAGCTCTTGGAGGGAAAAAGTATCTTTTAAAACTTAAAATTCTAGCTCTTGGGAGGCCGAGGCGGGCGGATTGCTCAAGGTCAGGAGTTCAAAACCAGCCTGAGCAAGAGCGAGACCCCGTCTCTACTATAAATAGAAAGAAATTAATTGGCCAACTGATATATATATATAAAAAATTAGCCGGGCATGGTGGCGCATGCCTGTAGTCCCAGCTACTCGGGAGGCTGAGGCAGAAGGATCACTCAAGCCCAGGAGTTTGAGGTGGCTGTGAGCTAGGCTGACGCCACGGCACTCACTCTAGCCTGGACAACAAAGTGAGACTCTGTCTCAAAAAAAAAAAAAAAAAAAAAAACAAACTTAAAATTATTAGTATTACTGACAAAGGACTTTAAATTATTTTATTTATTTAATTATTTTTGAGACAGCGTCTCTTTTTGTCACCCCAGCTAGAATGCAGTGGTGTCATCATAGCTCACTGCAACCTTTAACTCCTGGGCTCAAGTGATCCTCAATCTTCCTGCCTCAGCCTGCTGAGTAGCTGGGATTACAGGCGCATGCCAGTACTTCTGGCTAATTTTTGTTTTTTGTAGAGACGGGATCTTACTCAAGTTGGTCTAGAACTTCTATCCTCAAGTGATCCTTCTGCATTGGCCTCCCAGAGTGTTAGGATTACAGGCTTGAGGCACTGTGCCCAGCCTTATTTTTTTATTATTACTACATTTTTTAGAGATGGTATCTCACTTTGTTGTCCAGACTGGCGTGCAGTGGTGCAATCATAGCTCACTAAAGCCTTGAGCTTCTGGGCCCAAGTGATTCTCCTGCCTCAGCCTTCTGAGTAGCTGGGACTACAGGCACACACCACTACCCCTGGATAATTTTCCTTATTTTTTGTAGAGACGAGTTTTTGCTGTGTTGCCAGGTGGTCTCAAACTCCTGGTCTCAAGCCATCCTCTGGCCTTGGCCTTCAAAAGTACAGGGATTACAGGTGTGAGCCACCTTGCTGGCCTATATTTTTAGATGCTTATGTTCTAACAGTCATACAACTCACTAAAATGTTTGTATGATTTTTGTAGAAAGAGATTGTGTTGTTGGAAAAGTAACCTTAGAGGTAGTGTACTGGAACTCTTCTCACATTCAAATCACGATTTAAGCTGGGCATGGTGATACGTGCTGGTAGTCCCAGCTATTTGGGAGACTGAGGCAGAGGATCACTTGAGCCCTAAAGTTCAAGGCTGCAGTGAGCTATGATGGTGCCATATACTCCAGCCTAAGGACAGAGTGAGCCCCCATTGGCTAAAAGAACATATTTTTGTACTAGAAAGTATTAAGATCTTAAGTTTAAATTATGGCTCCAAATACTTAAAATCTTTATGATTTTTGGCCAGTTGCTAAATTTGTCCTTTTGAGCCTCATTTTCCCCCATTTTAAAAGGGAATCATAATAATATCTGCCTCAGGGTTGCTAAGAGAATTACATAAGATAATACAGTAATTGTCTCTTATAGTTCCTGAAACACATGTAGGCCAAAAAATAGTTCATATTATTGCAGTGTTATCATTAGCATCATCACTATTATTGGTATTATACTATGAGAAAACCATTTATCTTCCCATGTCCTCAATCTTAATTTTCCTATCTATAAAATACGAACAGTAGTCTTACTTCCCAACTTTTATGTAGGGATATGAAGATAAATGATTTCAAGAATGTGAAAACTTTCCTAATAGGATAGATTCAATGCACAAGGTATTCATATTATTATTTAAAAGATGCTTTTGCTTTCCGTAAAGCAAAAAACAAAAACAAAAAACCTATTCCATCAAGAAAGCAAAATTACCCAGTATATGAAGACAATATAATTGCTCTTAATGTCTTGGCCCATTTGAAAATGATATTAGAGTGTGGACAGTTGTTTTTTTAAGGAAAACTCTGTCCTGGGCCTTGGGCTTCTTTCCCTGTTTCTTATTCCTATTTTTCATGATGGGATCCCACCAAGGGCTATCCAGGTAGTCCTGCCATTATCAATGGAACACTAAATGTCAGTTACCATATGCTCAATTTAAGTGCTTGGCATTTAATTTTCTACATTGATCCATTGGAATGAATCTTCTATTATACAGGGTATTGACATTCTAAGATAATTTTCCTTCTTACAGATAATGAAACAGGAACAGAAAGATTAATGTTATGTGTTCAACATCATATTTGGGATTGAAAATACAGCATATCCTGAGTTCCTAGTCCTATTTGTAGTTGTTCTTTCATAGGGGATATGGTGAAATATATGGGAATATCTTTAATTGTCATGCTGACTATGGGATGCCAGTGGCATTTGATGGCTAGAACCCAGGGATGCTGATCATCCAGTAATTTGATGGACAATCTCAACAGGAAGAATAAGTGACCTGTCCAAAATATCAGTTGCACTCCTATAGAAAAATACTGATATCCCACCTGGGCTTCTCCTTGGGCAGGTGTGTTTCCTTTCCCTAATTCTCTTTTCTTAATAGAAGTTCTTTTTTTAGTTAAGTCCTTTGTATTAGGATGGCATGTGAAAAAGTCGGTTCACTGGAAATAACCTAGTTTTGTTGGGATTTTTTGTTGCCATGTTGGTGGGAAAGGCTGGGCAAGAATCCTTCCGTTCTATCACCCGTTCCTACTACAGGGGAGCAGCTGGAGCATTGCTGGTATACGACATTACAAGGTGAGCCAGATCTTTGTGCCTGGGAGGGAGACTCTTCCTTATATTGTCTAAAGCTTTTTTTTTTTTTTTCTATCTACTGATTCTGTTAAGGATGCTAAGTAGGAATGACCTCTCTAATTAATTTTTCGTTACAAACATAGCTTTCCCTCTTTCCCCATATATTTGGCATTGTTTTGGCCTTTTGAAATGGGCCCCTGACCCACTTTCTAAATTTTTCTGCTATAGACGTGAAACCTTCAATCACCTGACTTCATGGTTAGAGGATGCCCGGCAGCACTCTAGTTCCAACATGGTTATCATGCTGATTGGGAATAAGAGGTAAAATTTTATCTCCGTGAATAATTGTTAACAGGAGTCATCTAAGTCCTCTATGGATATTGAGTTTCTTGGTTTTCAAATTTTTTCAGTTTGTGGTGCCTTTTAGTGTCTCAGTAAGAAAATTTTTTGATTGTGGTAAAATATATGTAACATAAAATTTACCATTTTAGTTACTTTTAAGTATACAGTTCTGTGGCATTAAGTATAATATATTCACATTGTTCTACACCATCCCACCATTTATCTCCAGAACTTCATCTTCTCAAATAAACTCTACACTCATTCAACACTAACTCCCCATCTTCCCTCCACCCCCATGGCAACCATCGTTCTACTTTCTTTCTCTATGAATTTGATTACTATAGGTATAACGTATAAGTGGAATCATAACAATATTTGTGCTCTTGTGACTGGCTTATTTCACTTAGCATAATGCCTTCAATGTTTATCCATATTCTAGCATGTGTCAGAATTTCCTTCTATTTTAAGGATGAATATATATGTCTATACCACATTTTGTTTATCCATCTGTCCAGGGACACTTGGGTTGCTGCCACCTTTTGGCTATTGTGAATAAGGTTGCTATGACCATGTATCTGTTCAAGTCCCTGCTCTGAATTCTTTTGGGAATATACCTAGAAGTAGGTTGCTAGATCATATGATAATTCTGTGTTTAATTTTTTGAGGAACAGCATACTATTCTCCATAGCAACTGGACCGTTTTACATTCCTCCCAGCAATGCACAAGGGTTCTGGTTTTCTCACATGTCCATGCATGCTATTCTCAGTAGATTTCTTGGCACTCATAGGCCAAAAGAAGTACCTAATAATTTTATTATTAAATAGTTAATTTCAAACAACTTAAGTATTTTTTATAACAACTTAGCAACTGTTTGGAAAATGAAAAACATAAAGAAAAATAATATTTTCATTACATTTTTAAATAGTCACAATTACTTACTAATGACCTGTGTGTGTCTGTTAAACACTGCACAGCTTCTCAAACTTTGGAATCAAGATTGCACATTACCACTCTCATTTCTTGTTCCATATTGAATTTTGTGCAGTACTTTTTTATCACAGTAACTTCCAGAAACAGCTTCACAGAGATAAGAAGATACTGAACAGAATCCATCTTGATCTGATGTCGACACTGCAAATGATCTTAAATTTGTAATTCACATGATGTTATGATGTGGAATGTTACTGTGTTTCTGTCAAAAATTTAAAGTATCTCCTGATACCCTTGTGAGTTTGTAGTCATGCCCAAGGAGCACTGTTTGAGAACTGTAGCCACAGGCTAATTGTATTTATTTATTGGTTCAACTGATTTATTGAAAATCTATGTATTAGACACTGTGCCAAACTCTGAGTTTGCAACACGAAAAACAAAGCCATGCCCTTGCTTTCATGGAGCTTACAGTTTAGAAGGGCCACAGGTGGTAAATATAAAATTGGTATTTTTTTTTCTCAGACAGGGTCTTGTACTATAGTCCAGGCTGGAGTACAGTGTCATGATCATAGCTCATTGTAACATTGAACTGAGTTCAAGCAATCCTCCCACATCAGCCTCCACAGTAGCTGGGACTATAGGCATACACTGCCAAACCAGATAATTTTTTAAATTTTTTGTAGAGCTAGGATCTCACTATGTTGCCCAGGTGGTTTCAAACTCTTGGCCTCAAGTGATCCTCCCAGCTTGGCCTCCCAAAGTGGTGGGATTACAGATGAGCCACTATGCCTGGCCATAATAGAGTAAGGTATTATCTTCAGTCATGCAGCAGCTGTCCTGAATCTGAAGTATATTTTCCAAGAAACTACAGAAATCAGTAACCTTATACAAGAGAGTATTGTGTAGCATCTACATTCTTTACAAATTAACTGAGAGTTGAAACCACTATGGGATTCTTTTAGAACTAGATTTTCCTCTTTCACTTGCATCTTTTTTTAGTTTTCTTCCTAATTAATCTCTTGTAGTGACCTAGAGTCTCGTAGGGATGTCAAGAGAGAAGAAGGAGAGGCCTTTGCTCGGGAGCATGGACTTATATTCATGGAAACTTCAGCCAAAACAGCCTGCAATGTTGAAGAGGTACTATTTGGAAAAAAGTGGGGAAAGCTCTTTGGAGATTACACCATTATCTTGTCCTTTTATTCAGAATTCTCTTCTATAAGTCATGGGTAAAGAAAGGATGTCTTTTGGCCATAGTAACAAAATGTCTCCTTTTAAGGAAATCATCTCATTTTCTTTTACCCTGATTTCTAAAGTTTTACTTTTGCTTTGAATAACATTAATTGGTAAGTGTGGATTAGACACCATTGTTAGTTATAAATCACTTTAGTTGGAGTGTCTGATGGCTTCTACTGTAGTTATTCCTAGGCTTGGTATTGATAGTATCTTGAGTAACTAATAGAGAAGAGAATATGTTTGTTTTATTTGCAGATGATACCAATCTAGAAATCCTAGGAATACCTTAGATTAGTACCGGAATATCATATAATCCTTTTTTCTTTTTGAAATTACTCTCAATGGTTTTTATAGTGACATTTGGGGGAACTTCTATAATTTTATTACCTTCTAATGGTTCCTAATTTGCCTTAGAAATCCAAATAGGAATATTTATATTCTCTTTCTCTCATTTCTTTACCTAAACTTGAGACTGATAATATGATTTATGTCTCCTTTAGGCCTTCATTAACACAGCCAAAGAAATATATAGGAAGATCCAGCAGGGTTTATTTGATGTCCACAATGAGGTAAGAAGGGTGGGGATGCTGCCAGTTAACTTCGATTTGTTCTGAATAGAATTGGAAGCTCTGTAAAATGGAATGCTTAGGCCAGGCGCGGTGGCTCACGCCTGTAATCCTAGCACTCTGGGAGGCCGAGGTGGGTGGATCACTGAAGATCAGGAGTTTGAAACCAGCCTGAGCAAGAGTGAGACCCCGTCTCTACTATAAATAGAAAGAAATTAATTGGCCAACTAATATATATAGAAAAAATTAGCTGGGCATGGTGGCACATGCCTGTAGTCCCAGCTACTTGGGAGGCTGAGGCAGAAGAATCGCTTGAGCCCAGGATTTTGAGGTCACTGTGAGCTAGGCTGATGCTACGGCACTCTAGCTGGGGCAACAGAGTGAGACTCTGTCTCAAAAAAAAAAAAAAAAAAGGAATGCTTATATTCCCCATTTATCATTATACTACTCATAGCTCTGCCAATTCAAACTTGCATTTTTATATAGATACACAGAAACCTGTCATCATTTTCTGTCTTTCCTCAAGTCTGAGACCCAGAATGCTTAAAGAGATTATTAGTTGGTGATCTAAAAGGCCTATAAAATATGGGAGATAGGCCGGGCGCGGTGGCTCACGCCTGTAATCCTAGCACTCTGGGAGGCCGAGAAGAGCAGATTGCTTGAGGTCAGGAGTTCAAAACCAGCCTGAGCAAGAGCGAAACCCCGTCTCTACTATAAATAGAAAGAAACTAATTGGCCAACTAATATATATAGAAAAACATTAGCTGGGCATGGTGGCACATGCCTGTAGTCCCAGCTACTTGGGAGGCTGAGGCAAGAGGATTGCTTCAGCCCAGGAGTTTGAGGTTGCTGTGAGCTAGGCTGATGCCACGGCACTCACTCTAGCCTGGGCAACAAAGCGAGACTCTGTCTCAAAAAAAAAAAAAAAAATGGGAGATTTTCTTTTCAACCTCATTTTCTTATGATTCCAGAACATGGGGAGGTATAATTCTTAATTCTTAGAAGGGCCATTTCTATAAAGCAAATTCTGGGACAAAACAAAAAAGAATCATATGCTAATTTGCTATTTCTATTCTTTGCCTCCTCTTACTCTTACCTAATCACATCCTAATTCTGCACATAGCTATGAAATTTAAGTAAAATAGTACATCTTAAAAATAGGAACAGGGGCTAGGCAAGGTGGCTCAACGTCTGTAATCCTAGCACTCTGGGAGGCTGAGGTGGGAGAATCGCTTGAGGTCAGGAGTTCAAGACCAGCCTGAGCAAGAGCGAGACCCCATTTCTACTAAAAATAGAAAAAAAATTGGGCATGGTGGCATGTGCCTGTAGTTCCAGCTACTTGGGAGGCTGAGGCAGGAAGATTGCTTGAGCCCAGGAGTTTGAGGTTGCAGTGAGCTCTGATAACACTACTGCACTCTACCCGGGACAACAGAGCAAGACCCTCAAGAAAATAAATGGGCATAGGGCACAGTGGGTTATGCCTATAGTCCCAGCTACTTGAGAGGCTGAGGTGGGAGGGTTGTGTAAAGCCAGGAGTTCAAGGCTGTGGTACACAATGATCATGCCTGTGAAAAGCCACTGTACTCCAATGTAGGTAACACGGGAGACCCTGTCTCTTTAAAAAAAAAAAAAAAAAAGGAAGGGGACACACAAGGCATTTCTAGTTAACTGTGATACTTATGCCACAGGTAATCATCTTAGTCTTGTTATCATAGATTATTGTTCCACAACAGGCTGGCTAGAGCACACGGTTAACTGCCAAGGTCATGCCTACTTTTAGAAAATTATTTATTTCTCCTTTCTCCCATTCACTTTAACACTGAATTGAGAACTATTGCCTCTTTTCTCTTACAGGCAAATGGCATCAAGATTGGGCCCCAACAGTCAATTTGTACATCAGTGGGACCCAGCGCCTCCCAGCGGAACAGTCGTGACATAGGGTCCAACTCTGGCTGCTGCTGAACATCTGGCCTGAACTCTTTTTTCCTTCCTGGAACAGCTTCAGATCAATAGGCTTAATGAAAGAGGTCTTACTTGCTTTGGCTGAGAGCAGCCTCTTTTCAAGGTGTGATGTTTTGCCTTTCCACTTAAAGATCAAGGGAGAATTTGGGCCATTGCTGACCTGTCCTTCTTCAGGGACGTGAACATTCCCTATAGATTAGGGCTCTTCTCACCCTGTTATTTTAATTTCTAAAATGTTAGGATCAAAGTTTATTGTCACAGTAGTTAAAAAATAAATAATTTCATAAGCATATACAATCTGCTCCCCACCAAGAATTAGGATTAAGGACATTCTGCTTGAACACTTGAGATTACTGTGATCTGGCTGGCCTTTAGATGATAGATCTTCTGCCGAGGAATTTCATTGAGTTTTTCTTGCCTTTGGGGGTCTACTTGCCACTTCATAAGAATTTTTGCAAAAGGCAGTTCCTTCTACTTGCTTAGGGATGCTGAGTACTATCTCATTGTTAGTTTCTATCTCTTAGAGTAACTACGAAAGTTTTGAGAGCAGTGGAGTTGGTCCTGGACCTATAGCCACTTAATTACCTAAAGAAAAATATGTTCTGTGTTCATTTTGTTTTAGGGACCAAATCTAATATTGTAGTCTTTCACCAGATGGACTTCTACTGTTTCATCATACTTACTTCTTAACTAGACCTAGTTAGACTTTGTACTCTAATCAAGCTAATCTGCTTACTGGACATGACATATTTATTCCTACTTCCATATCTTTGCACATGCCCTACTCTTCACTAACATTATATTTAAAAGTCCAAAAAAAATTTCTTTAGAAAGCCGTCACTGACTGACCTAAGGACTCTAAGTAAAAATTTATTGATATAGTACCCCTTAGCTTTCATGTTATTCATATGTATATTTATATGTATATTTATTTATATGTAACTTTGTAAATATGTTTTTTAGTTGTTTTATGTGTGGAATCTGTCTCCCCATATATGTTGTAAGCTCCTTAAGAGCAGGATCCATGTCCTCCTTTTATTTTTATAAACCATTCCCCTCACCATTCCTTCACAGTGCCTAGTGCTACTCATTATGTGATCATTGAATTTGACTGACATACTTAAAAACTTAAGATTTATTTTAGGCTTTAGAGGAAACAAAAGGCCTGGGAGTCATCTCTTTGTAATTCTACCTAGCTTTTCCATTTACTTGCCCTGGGTACTATGTTATTCTTTTCCCTCTCCTTTCCTACCATTCCCTGGTTCTCTGTCTCCATTCCATGCAGCATAAAGTAAGGCTGCTATGTTACCCAGCAGCCAAATAAGTGGGTACTTCTCTAGCCATTCTCCTTTTCAGAGCATATAATACTATGCTAGCCAAATTTGCCTTTGCTTCACTCATCATCAGGCTTCTAGGTCAGTTGCTATATCTTTTTTTCTTGATGTCCCATTTACTTCCACAGCACTGAGGTCTCATGAATTTTTCTAATTTTTTTGTTGTTGTTTCATTATTAAACATATGCATGTATCCAAGCTGTTCATACTCCATGTGTCATTTCTGATTGTATCCCAAACATTAGTAGCTATTCTCCTCCTAGGGGATTGTATCAAAGATATGGAAGAATCCTCCTTTTTGGGATTTGTTTTATACTAGATTTTGATCTAGTAGTAGTATTGTTAACACTGCACCTTAGGAAGTAGGAAGACATTTGGGCTATTGCTTTGATTATGCTTTTGTTTTTTTTTTTAAATCCTACCTCATTCCAAAAAGGATTTGAAGCTGCTGAATTTGGAGTTAGCCTGCTTCTTCACCCAAGGGACAAAACTAATTATAACTTTATAGTTTCTGTATGGACATTTTTCTTTACTGTCTAAAAGAATCTTTAGCATTAGAACATTAGTCAAAGGCAGCATTCTGCCTAGAGTTGCTGCTTTCAGAGACATTAAAAGATATTGATATTTTGATATTTTGGAGCATATTTTTAAAATCTCAACTTCCACATCCAGTTCTATTATCCAAACCAACTTATAACCTTCTGTACTTAGATATTTCACCAATTGTAAGGGAAGCATGAGAAACAAAAGTATCTGGGTAAATTCATGACCTGTGTTCTGAGTGAAGTGCTGATGTTCTGAGTGAAGCAGTCATGAAGAATTTCAGAAAAAAGACATCATACCCATATGAAGAACAGTAGTTATGAGATAATCTGGGTATTGATTGATCTTTAAGGCCAAGACCATTAAAAATCATACTAAAGATAAGTGTAGGTAGCAGAAATTATTGGATCAGGCACATCCTTTCCCCTTTCCATAATGCTATAACTAGTTCCTTTCATAACAAGTCTGTTTGGAACCAGATGATAACTGGAAGGATAACAGGCTTTCTAGGAACTCTTAAAAATTAAGATACTAGCCGGGCGCGGTGGCTCACGCCTGTAATCCTAGCTCTCTGGGAGGCTGAGGCGGGCGGATTGCTCGAGGTCGGGAGTTCGAAACCAGCCTGAGCAAGAGTGAGACCCCGTCTCTACTATAAATAGAAAGAAACTAATTGGCCAACTAATATATATATAGAAAAAATTAGCCGGGCATGGTGGCTCATGCCTGTAGTCCCAGCTACTTGGGAGGCTGAGACAGAAGGATCGCTTGAGCCCAGGAGTTTGAGGTTGCTGTGAGCTAGGCTGACGCCATGGCACTCACTCTAGCCTGGGCAACAAAGCAAGACTCTGTCTCTAAAAAAAAAAAAAAAAAAAAAAAAAAAAACAAAAAAAAATTAAGATACTATCTGTATATGCATTTATAGACAAACATTGTTCTGATAATACTAACTTCAAATTTGATACCATGGCAGCAGTAGCCAGGGAGAATTTAACTAACAGATTTTGTTCAATATACAGGGAAATGTATTTGGCCAAGTCTTATCACCTCTCTGATAAAATATTGACTCATATGACTCCTTAATGTCTCTGAGCTCCTGCCATGTAAGACCATACAATTGTGTTACTCCTTGAGAAATTCCTTTAATGATATGGAAGGACTCCACTCACGAGTTTAAAAAGATTTCTTGTAGTAAATTGTAATAGCAGTAGAGATTTAGAGTAGGAAATACAGGAAAACCTTTCTCACTGAGTACAAGAGAATTTCACCTACAATAAAATTATTTCTTTTCCAATTTAAATGCAGTTAGAAATTATTCTCTCCAGCCAATGTTTCTAAGGCTGCCCCCTAATGGTCTTGCTTCTCCTTGCATATAATTTCTCTTAAGGCCTGTATCATTTGCATTATCTGTATTCACGAGTAATTTGGATCTACTGATTAATTTTAGCCTTTTATAAAATTTTTAAAAAGTTGGAATTCTTCCCTAAATCCTGTTCTTTCTTTCCAACTGACTCACAGTGCTCTGTACTGCCAAATTCATAACACTGGTAAATTTCCAAGTGAAGCGTAAAGATTAGAAGCATCTAGAATAAATAACTTAGGTCGGTCATATTCTGATACTCTGAAGAGTGAGGTGTCTATAACGGACTACCCTAGGAGCCTGTAACATTCACTCTCGTTTGAAGAATTAATTTTTGTTTCTTTGATTTGTTAAAATTGCTTCATTCCAATAGTTACGTGAGAGGGTGGTGGTTTCCTCTAATCACATACATTATTCTGGAGTTTCTCATCGTGACTGAGAGACATCCTGATAATATACATGTAGGAGAGATATTGGGGCTGGAGCTAAACAGTCAGACAGAACGCCGAAAAGGGCTTCAGATTCTTGAGGACTCCTTCCCCGTCCCCGTCCCCAAGGCACCCGCCCGATTCAAGATGGCTTCCCAGAAACAGGTAACTAGGAGTTGTTTTAGTTCGGAGCGCCCCCAACAGCAGGGGCCAAAAAGAGATGCTGAGGGGCCGGGCCGCCGGTAAACTGAGCCGTCAGAGGCGAACTGCCGCCAGATTTTATTTTCAATCAGGCATATCTGTGGTTGTCTACGTACCCTTCCCAGCCTTTTAGGGCCTCCCACCCTTAAGAGACTTCCTGGATGGCGCTCACACTAACCCGCTGGAAGAGGCCCGGCTTCGGCCCTGCCATTGGTGGGTGAGGGAGCAGGGGGGCGGAGCCTAGGGAGAATGGACTACTAGCAAGCTAGATTGAGGCGAGGGCTGGCCATGCTCCGCCGGAAGGCGCCTTGTTCTCCGAGAGGGTGAGTTGAAACGCTGACGGGAGAGGAAGCACCAGGACTTGTTCAGGTAGGCTCCCCAGCTCACGCCTGCTCTTCAGTGCTGATCCAGTGGCCTTTGCAAATGCTAAGGCTCTTAGAATTGATTTCAGTAATTCATCCTCCTCCCGTCTCTTCCACCCCCTTTCCTGTTCCCTAGTTGTGAGGGATCAGGTGTTGGGTGATGCTCTGGACTGAACCATTCTCCTTTGTGAGAGGCCGGGGGAGAGGGCGGCTGCCGGGCACTGGGGTCCGAGCTAAGCCAAGCCGCGAGGGGGCTGCCTGGGTTACTGTGGAGTTTTTAGAGCTTGTCATTGCATTGCTGGGCGTAGTGTAGATTTGAGGCAGCGCCTTGTTCTCCTTCCCCCTTCAGAAGAGAGAAAACTCCCCGGCTCCGTTTGGTTGTTCCATACTTTGGACTGAGAAGTGGGAGGTTAGGGATTTTTCTTCTTTTTTTCTGTTTGCATTTTAGTAATGAAGGTGGGTAAGAAAGCATGGGGTGAGCATATGCAGGTTGTTATTCATTCTTAGGTGTAATTTCTGTGGGTCTTCTGGGAGTGAAGAGCAGGCTGTTGGAAAGTGTTTAGAGATGGTGGAAAGAGAGGAGCTGAAGCCTTGCATCTCTCTTGACAGGTCTGCGGAGCTCACTGGTTTTCTGTTGCATTATGTAAACTCTTTACTGGCACAAGACCCCTCCCCCTTCCTTGGAGTGAGTGCAATTTCTTTATTTACCTGTCTGTAGTGTCGCAGGGAACTTCTCTGCGGCAGCTGTACAAATGCAGCAGCTCCTGCCTAATTTTAAGGGGCGATTCTGAAGTGATGAAGGTCTTCACAGAAGAGGTGTATGGGGACCAGTCTCTTTCCAATGACTGAGCAAAGTGAGCCAGAAGTCAAAGATTTAGAACTCTTTATTTTAAGGAATAATCAAACGTAGTGGAAACCTCCCAACACAACCAAGGGGAGCTGCATTTTGGTGTCTGCTGCATCCAACCATCATACCCACATCTACAGATGATTTAATCTCCATGTTTTTCTGAGTTTGTGGACTCAGAGACTGGGGTGTCCTTAGCATCTGCTGAGGTCCCATCTGGTGTGGGGCACATTAGATACTGAAAGTGAGTTTGTGATTTGGATAATGTTCTCTGTTAATTAGATAATGTCTTCTGCTTAGGATTTTATTTTGTATTGGTTACCCAATAGGTTTCAAAACAAACTGTAGTTAACCTCATAGGGCCAGAAGTGGGAAACTTATTTTAGAATTATCTCAACCCTTAAAAGTAAAGAGTTATGAAAGAAAAACAACATTTTCCCCTTAAGAAGACCTTCTGTTGCAAGAGTGGCATGCCAGTGGGTCTGCAAGTCAAGGTTAAGGACACTGGCCCAAGAAAGGGTAGGCATGTGTAAAGAGACAGGCTTGGGAGAAGGTTTAAAATTGAAATACCAAAGGAGTAATGGATTGGGATAAGGGATTTGATGGAGCAACATATGGGCATTTGCACAGTTCTCACCTTCCCTATTTTTGATTCCTTTTGTGCATCTGGCTTTTTGATTTTGTCAGTTCTCAAATTGACAAAATCCATTTAGATATGGCTAGAAAATGTACCTGCTTGTGAATTGCCAGGAAATACAGATCTCATATTTCCCAGGACAGTCTTCTCTATAGTGCTCCTGGGTGATGGGGTGGAGGAATCTTGGCATTGTGGTATACACCACTGCAGTGTAAAAGGAAAATATTGACATTTTATATGAAGGGTCAGGTTTCTGATAGGTAACAGAGGATGATGAGGGGGATCATTCTTTTAAAGAAACCCAAAGGTGACATTTTTATTAGCAAGACTGCTGCTTAATATTAACTTGTAGGCTGGGCGGGGTGGTTCATGCCTGTAATCCTAGCACTCTGAGAGGCTGAGGCTGGAGGATCGCTCAAGGTCAGGAGTTCAAAATAAGCCTCAGCAAGAGTGAGACCCTGTCTCTACTAAAAATAGAAAGAAGTTAATTGGCCAACTAAAAATATAAAAAAAAAAATTAGCCAGGCATGGTGGTGCATGCCTGTGCCCCAGCTACTTGGGAGGCTGAGGCAGGAGGATTGCTTAAGCCCAGGAGCTTGAGGTTGCTGTGAGCTAGGCTGATGCCATGGCACTCTAGCCGGGGCAACAGAGTAAGACTCTGTCTCAAAAAAAAAAAAAAGATCAACTTGTGTTTGGACAACATAGGCACTCTTAGAGGGAGAAAAAAAAATAAAAAAGAAGATAAGTGTTTATTGTATATTAAAAAAAGAAAAGATTAACTTGTGGGTGCCAAAACTGTACTTGCTTACTGAAAGAATACAATTTGATATTCTCATCTATGAAAGGACGGTAGCATTCAGATGCATGCTAAATGCTTTAGCGATAGTATGCTCACAGCCTTGTAAGAGTTAAACTATCTTTGGAGCTTACATTGAGCTTAATACCTGGGAGAAAGACACAAGGCAGATATTTCTCTGAAGTCTCCACCCTCACCTCTAGAAGTCACTCTGCTTCTGGACTTGGATTTACGCAAGTCCCTGATCTGCAAGTCTTTGCAGGACCTGCCTTTGGCACTACTGTGACCACCCTGGTATTTACTATTTTACCTTTAGCATTTGGTTCATTGATAAACTATCATGTTTCTTATCTTACTTAGTTAAACTTTTTGTGTCCCCTCTTTAATGAATATTTTCTTTTGCCTCACAGAGTTGGTGATCTTTCTTTCATCTCCCTGTTACAATTTTGTTCACTTTGCTTTTTGTTTTAATTCACTGACATTGTGCCTTTTTGCCTGAGAGTGTAATGCGGTTCCTTTGGTACCTAGTACCCAAGTGAAAATTGTATTTTCATGTAACAAACCTGTTGGGTGAACAGTTTTCTATTGCCTAAAAAGTTTAATCATTTACTGCATTTTAATGCGGTTAATTCTAACTTTTCCCCCCTTAACCTCTCAGTTTTGTATGTATGTATGAAGTCATAATTCAGCTCTTTTTTGTGTATTTTCTAACTCTATTTCATACTGCCTTTAAAGTTTTCATTGTATTTGTATTGTAAAATAAATTCACCTCTGTTGTTACTGCATTTTTTAAATTTAAACTACAAAGTATGTTAATCTCTGAGGCTTCTCATTAAGCTGTTCTGTAGAAACAGATATGCTTCTGTAGGTAGCATATCTTTTGCCTTTTTCTTGCCTATTACTTTCTGTCCTTCACTAGGCTCTTGGTTAATATCACTTGAAGCAAAATGGTCAACTTTAAAGTATCTTATTTCTTGCTTTCAGATTGCGGCAGGAGACTTAACATATTAACTGCCACATTAGAAAAAAATTTTTCCCCGGAGCCACAGTGTTTTATTAAAACAAAACGATTCTTTCTCATTTGTTATTTTTTATTTTCTGTGCATGAATTATATGCAGTGCAATCCACATTTTTAGAATTAAATTGTCAATATTAATTGTAACAATAAGAACATCAACAAGTAAAATTTTCAGGAACCAACTGTAGGGTTTTGCTTCATGCACCCCAGGCTTGAAGCTAGCCTGAGTTAAGTACAACTCACGTGGCAATCAATGTGTTAAAAATAAAACACTTAATTTCTACACACTAATTTTATGTTTATGTTACATGATAATAAAAAATCCAGCAGGCATAGATAGAAATTAGTCTGGCATCGATCATTCCTATACAATTGTCTTTAGCAGAGATGGATCCAGGAATGTATTCCAAGCTGTGCAGCAGTGTAGGGAACCTAGACAACATTCTAGCCTCTTTAAATTCAAATTATACTGTAGTATATCCTCACTAGGTTGCTTGAAAAGAGTTTCCAGAACAATTATTTGCTGTTATGTATAATTATTAAGGAAGGGTTAACTTTTTCATTGAAAGAGTAAAACATTCCTGATTTTAGTTCCTCTGTGTACTTTCAGAGAAATATATTGTATGTGGCTTCATTTTATTTGGTGTTTTCAGACTTCATTTCATTTTAAATGAAATTTAAATTCTTCCCTATATGTTAGCATTTTAAAATGTGATGTGCTAATCCTTTTGGTACTGTCCCAATATTCCAGTAATTAGTAATTGTGTAATAATACCTTTTTCTCTTGACAATCTAATTCTTCTAAGTCTATGTCAGTAACTTTCTGAGAAAAGGATACATAGTAACTGAATTCTTAATTTCATTTGAAAAGAAAGAAGTCTTCATGATTTCTCAAATTGTTTCTTGTGGTCATTATAGAAGCCATTGGAATTTCCTGCTTTCTTTTTTTCTTTGACTACATATTTTGGGCATGCACTACATCTTTAGGCATTTTTCCTTTGGGACATGGATATCCAGAGATACATTGTCCTGTTAGTGATATGGGAATTTCTTTTTGGTTGGTTCTAGGAAAAAAACCAATGGTTTTTGTAGTTTGGCTGCATATTCATTTATTTTTATTTTTAAAATTTTATTTATTTATTTTTTGAGACAGAGTCTCACTCTGTTTCCCCGGGTTAGAGTGCCGTGGCGTCAGCCTAACTCACAGCAGCCTCAAACTCCTGGGCTCAAGCAATCCTTCTGCCTCAGCCTCCCGAGTAGCTGGGACTACAGGCATGCGACACCACGCCTGGCTAAGTTTTTCTATATATTTGTAGTTGGCCAATTAATTTCTTTCTGTTTTTTAGTAGAGATGGGGTCTCACTCTTGCTCAGGCTAGTTTCGAACTCCTGACCTCGAGTGATCCTCCCACCTCAGCTTCCCAGAGTGCAAGGATTACAGGTGTGAGTCACCGCACCCAGCCTATTTTTTTTTTTTTTAATTTTATTTTTTTTGAGACAGAATCTCACTCTGTTGCCCAGACTAGAGTGCCGTGGTGTCAGCCTAGCTCACAGCAACCTCAAACTCCTGGGCTCAAGCAATCCTTCTGCCTCAGCCTCCCAAGTAGCTGGGACCACGGGCATGCGTCACCATGCCTGGCTAATTTTTTATATATATATTTTTAGTTATCTAGCTAATTTCCTTCCTATTTTTAGTAGAGACAGGTCTCACTGTTGCTCAGGCTGGTCTCGAACTCCTGAGCTCAAAACAATCCACTTGCCTCGGCCTCCCAGAGTGCTAGGATTACAGGCATGCGCCACCATTCCGGCCATGGCTGCATATTTAGAGCTCAAATCATAAGAGAATTTTGTGTACAGAACATGATTTTATCAGGTATATGTCTACCTAAGTAAACTGCATGAATGGGAAGATTTTTGAATAGAAGCTTCCAAGTTAGGTGAACACAGAACTTTCACTCTGTTTTATTCTTCATTTCTTCTAGTCAGTACTCATTCTTTTTTTTCCCCCTTTCCTGGGGTGTGGGCACATTAGTCAGCTCTTCCCTTATTTACATATCAATTCTCCTATAAAATGTACTGCTTTTGCTTGTTTTTCAAATGTGCCTCCTGTTGGGACCTTTTTTTAAATCTGGTCTTAAATATATAGTATAGATAATGGTTACTTCCTTCACTGCTCTCTGGAAAATCAGGGGAGTCAAAAGCTAAAGCAACTGGATCTGGGCATGTGAACTATCAAGGGACAGCCTAGTCAGAAAACTGTAAGTTACCACAAGCAGGTATTGTGAAATAAATGGAATACTTATAAAATAGACAGACACAGGCATATTCTTACAAACATAAAAGTGATTAGTTGAATTACCTGGGATGTTGCCCTGGATCACCAGTGC